TCCACCCGCATGTTTTGCATCCCTCTTGCTCAACGCCTGTTCATCTGTCTCACCCCCCCCCCTTCCTCCTCACTTCCCCTTATTTTCAGGCTCAGCACGATGCTTTGCGTGGCGGGGGGTAGATTAAACAGGGCTAGGTCCCCGCCGCCCCGCCGCGCCCCGCCACGCTACAAAAGCACCCCGCCGATAGAATTTGCGCGCAGGACCCCACGCGCTCGCGCCTACACGCGGGACGCTCATGTGGTCTGGGCTCAACGGGCAGTGATGGACACTCCCGCATTGAATATACCTTTTCGCCCAGGTCCATAACGCGTGATTAAATCCGTAGGAGATTGCATTCGTTTATGTGACCGTGAGGTACATTAAAACTTGTATTATTTCCACCATGAACTGTGCACCATTGTAACAGAAGTTCTGGTACGCACCGATTTTGCCGTACCTTTCCTTCATTTTGTTCGGAACGGAAAATAATACGCAACAGAATGGTACTGAAAACGTATTTTTTGAAAAGGAAATAATGTATCATAACGTCTTAAATTTCGTTTCTTACGGCACCATCGGATTCCCCGTACAATGTACGATCAAAACGGCCGAGAGAATAGCATTCATCAAAAATCATCGCAAAACTGAAAGACACGCGGCGTCGTCCGTTTACGGGAGGCAAAGTGACGAGGAGTTTTCGGTGGCAGTGTACTTTAGCAGAGGCAAAGGACAAAGTCATCTAGGTACAAGTCACGCAGTATTGTTTCCTCCTTCTCCGCTGACGTTTAAGTCTACGTGTGTCCTTCTTGACCAGCCCTTGTTCGTAAGGATGCAATGGGCCCCCCCTCCCTCCCCCCACTCTTTTTTTCAGCAACGGGGGGTGTAGGCGGGGAGTGCCTGGCCTGTTCTAACGTGCGGCGGCGACGGCGGCGTCCTGAGGCAGACAAATGGCTTAGCAGTCGGCGAGAGGATTGGGGGAGAGGAGGAGGGGGGAGTCTGACGTCACTGCCGGAGCCCGGCCCGGGCCTGGCGCTGGCGCCCGCACAGCAGCATACACATTCCGGGCTGGACGCGCGGCCCTCCGCGGGATGCTGCCGCTGCCGAGTCTGCTGCTGGCTGGCTGGCCTGGACCAGCGGGCCCAACCAACCCTCCGCGCGCCTCGGGCTCCACGGCTCCGGGCCGGCCCGACGACGAAATGGCCAAGGACCGTAAAATGTAGCGGCGGCGGCAGCAGCAGCAGCTCTGGTGTAGGCTAGCTGGCCGGAGGTCCGCCCGCGGCCATTCTGCGCGCGACGGCGAGGCACAGCTCCAGCGTCCTTCCACCTCCCCTCCCCCTCCCTCCCTCCCTCGCGGGCTGCAAACTAGTTTGTTATCGCCCCGCTCGCACGCTACGCGACGCCACGCCCGGGCTTTCGAATGAATTGATTGTTTTCATGCTCCCTGGGCGGCGCGTCACTGCAGGGAGGGGGCGGGTGAGAGGGAGGGAAAGCGAGAGAGAGAGAGAGATAGAGAGACACGCTCTCCGCGGCAATTTTGGCAAACGGGTGCGTGGGCGTATCTGCCTATATGTGTATGCGGCGGCCCGTGTTTGCTCGTCCACTTGCTGGTGTCGGAAGCGTTGTCATGGCGCCGAGTGCGCCGCTCCAAACCTCTGCCCGCACGACCGTGTCGTTCTGTATTGATTGGTGTACGTACACGCTAAGTGCGCGCTGGTTTGGTTCTTCGGCATTGCGCTCCCCCGCGTGCCCTGGCGCGCGCCCTCTGTTTGCCCGCCCCGAGCCCCGCTGCTCGCGCGCTGTCGTTCGTACACGTATGACGCGGGTAAGGGCGATGTACCGTGGGTCGCCCTTCTCAGGGGAATTCTCTGCGCTGCTGCAAACGCAATACGAAAAATTTCATGTATCTCTCTCTCTCTCGCTCCCGCTCTCTCGCTCTCACTCTCTCGCTCTCACTCTCTCGCTCTCTCACTCTCTCGCTCTCTCACTCTCTCACTCTCTCACTCTTTCACTCTTTCACTCTCTCACTCTCTCGCTCTCTCACCTCTCACTCTCTCTCACTCTCTCACTCTTTCGCTCTCTCACTCTCTCGCTCTCTCACTCTCTCGCTCTCTCACTCTCTCGCTCTCTCACTCTCTCACTCTCTCACTCTTTCACTCTTTCACTCTCTCACTCTCTCGCTCTCTCACTCTCTCACTCTCTCTCACTCTCTCACTCTTTCGCTCTCTCACTCTCTCGCTCTCTCACTCTCTCACTCTCTCACTCTCTCACTCTCTCGCTCTCTCGCTCTCTCACTCTCACTAACTCTCTCCCTCCCTCTCTCCCTTCTTCCTTCCGTCCGTCCCTCCCTCTCTCCCTATCTACCTCCCTCCCTCTCTCTCTCCCTCTCTCCCTCCCTCCCTCCCTCTCTTCCTCTCTACCTCCCTCCCTCTCTCTCTTCCTCTCTACCTCCCTCCCTCTCTCTCTTCCTTTCTACCTCCCTCCCTCTCTCTCTTCCTCTCTACCTCCCTCCCTCTCACTCTCTCTCGTTCGCTTGCTCTCTGCTGCGTATTTCATTTCCATCTGCCTGCTCCCCCGTGCTGCTCGCCCCGGTGGTGTGAACCAACCCTTTTCGAGGGGCCAGGAGGTCATTCCTCTGCGCCACTCCTCCCTCCGCCCCCTTCCCCGATCCTCCGGTCGGCTCGTCGCGTGCGCTCTTGATAAAAAAAAAATCGTTTTTTTTTCCTTTCTTTATACTCCGTGGTCGAGGATTGTAGGGCAAGCTGTCATGTGATGTCTGAGTGAAGCGAGCGCGGTTTGGGGGGTGATTTAGCCGTTTGCTCGCCACCCAGATCCTCTCGACACTGAGCGCCCCGCGTGTGAACGGGTTCGAGAGGAGGATCGAGGAGGATGCTACAGGAGGAGAACTGTATCGGGCGTCTGTCTCTCTTTGTTTTGCACCCCGATGCGTGGGCTCTCACGGAATATTGAGCTGGGCGTGTTGCATTCAATCTCAAAGAGAAGCGGCAAAGAGATACTGGGTGGCCCGCACCCACGCAGACCCAGCACAGGATATGTCGTAGTTATACTGTACGGCATGCGGCCGAGCGGGCGGGCTTATCTACTGTCTCCCCCCCCCCCTCTCTCTCTCTCTCTCTCTCTGTTTTGTAGGCTGGAAACTACTATGTTGGGGTATCGTAGCTTAAGCATACTGTACCGCTTGTGTATTGTGAGTGTAGGCGGTTGCACAACTCGCCCGCCATATAAGCGCATGCCAGGTACAGTATAGCCAATCACTACAAAATCTACATCATTTTTAAAAGAAATCGATCAGCTGAAACGCAATTTAGCGAACGTCGTACACTTGTAGGTGTGTGAATGTCCTTTCGTACACTTAATGGGTAAAGGTGTGATTACCCTTTCGTACACTTGAGGGGTAAAGGTTTGAATTTTCTTTGGAATTGACACTCTTGTACCTACCTCCATGTGTACGAATGGCGTTCACACACCTGCAAGTGCGTGCGACATTCACACACTTGAGTTTCCGGTGCGTAAATTCGTTTGCGAGAGTACCTCACCTCCCGCGTAACTATTTTATTTTACCGCACGCGTGCGGATTCCACCAAGTACTATAAATTTGGCCGGCGTTGAAGGTCGTGGCACCCATTACGGCTTGCGCTACTATGGCCTGATTGCAGGAGTTGCTCTCTCTGCGTGTGTGCGTGTGTGTGTGTTTCACCTGCGCCTGGTGGTTTGTGGTGGTGTGGTGCGGTGTGGTGTTTTGCGTGCCCCGCTGATGATGAACAAACGCTTGTTGCAGGCACGCCCCGTTCGCGAGCGCCCCCAGCGACCCCCCGAGCGCCATTCTGCGCCGGGTGAGCGAGGACCTGGACATGGATAGCGGCAACTGGCTCTCCGTGTCGGAGCCGGCCAAGGTGAGTAGTCGTCGGGTGAGGGGGTGATTGGCGGGCTTGTCGACGAGCGTCGTTTTAAATTCACGTCTATAGCTGAGGATATTTTGTGTGTGTGTGTGTGTGTGTATGTGTTGGAAGAGAAGAGCTGCTGAAATGGGCCTTCACGCTTGGGGCGACGGCCTCGGGCACGACGGCATGGGAATGGGAAATCTTCCCCCTGTGCTTTCTCCTTCCTCCACCCCTCTCCCTATACCTCTCAGCTAGCGGCTTTATCCCTATTTATTTTTGTCGTATCGAAGCTTTGCCGATCCGACCTCACTGATCGTATAGCGTTGGCGCGCCTGTCTTTTTGTGCGGGCGCGCCGTTTAAAGACACCCCCGCTCCCTCGCGCCACTCCCCACTTGATAGCTTTCCCTTTTTCTTTAAAAAAAAAAAACGGTCGAGTTTCCCTCCTCTTTCTTCTTGTTTCTATTCTTTTTACTTTTCTTTACGTTTCGTGTCCCCGGACCTAGTTTAGATAGTCGCCCGACGCGCGCCGGCGGCAAAGCTCTCCGTCCTGCTTCTGGTGACCTTGGAGGGGAAGACGGAATGCCTGTCGAGTTTAGTTGGGTTTCGTTAGTTTGTGGTCCTCAGAAATAAATGGCATTGTTCTTCCTCGGACAACGGCACAGCCACAGCCGCCGCTGCTCTCCTTTTGTGGACTTAGCTCCATAGGGTTGTAATATTGTGTTCCAGGAAACCCGTTGAAGACTGGTTAATTAATACAATTCTTTTTTCGCGCCATTGACGCCATGCCACCGCTTTACTCTTTTCAATCAACTATTTTGATTTCATATTACGATTTAAAATTACTGATGCAAATTCTGAACTAACCGCCTGAGTCTAGTGTGTGTGTTTTTTTCTCTGTGGCGGGAAAGCGTTTGGCGTCGCGTCATCCACGACCGAGAGTTGAAAAGCTTTTGTTTTCCTGTTTCAGGACCTGGTGCGAGTGATGTTGCACGTGGACCCCAACCGCAGGCCCACCGCCGAGCAGGTCTTGAACCACCCGTGGCTGCAGCAGCGGCACCTGCTCCCACACGTGCGCCTCAGCATGCAGGAGGCCGCTGACATCAAGGTGAGCGCGGGAGAAACAAACCCAATGAAATTCAGGAATCTTCTTTCTTTTAAAATTGACAGTGTTTTTCTCGTCGAGTTGGGCGCACGTTGCGTTGTCCCTGCCGCCTCGTCCCACAGCTCATCCCCCTTCTCAAGCTCTCTCTCTCTCTCTCTCTCTCTCTCTCTCTCTCTCTCTCTCTCTCTCTCTTTCTCTTTCTCTTTCTCTTTCTCTTTCTTTCTCTCTCACTACCCCCTCCTTGCACTCGTCCGCCCCTATTGCCTTGCTGTGGTGTGCGTTGTCGGCTCTGGGAGGAAATGAAGTGCCGTCTTCTTAATTCTGTTTTATCTCATTTTGTGCCCTTTTTTCTGACCCAGGGCGCTGTTGCCGCGACGTACAAAGCGATGAGCCAGTCTCCCCGCGCCCCCAACCTCGGCCCTGTGGTCATGTCCGACTTGGCGAGGCGGAGGCGAAAGTCTCGCCCCACGTCGGCTACAGACGTCTGATGAGGCTCGCCGTAAAGATGGACTTTATCTCTTTTTTTCGAATTTATTTTTCCTTATAATTGTTTATTCTTACGAACAAGTTTTCTAATGTGATATGAGAGGAGTGTCTGTGGACAGGCCTCTTTGACAATATTGTTCCTCCGTATGTGCCCCTTTCCCCCTCCTATCTTTATGATTTTCACCTGCACCTATTATATTTTCACCGTAGTTCGCCATCATCTGGTTTTAAACGTTTGCCCTTTTCCTCTTGTATTTTAATATCGTCGCAATCGATCGTTCTGTAAAGTGGCTAAGGTAAGACGGCGGTGAAAAAATCAATTGTTAGCGGCTTTCGAGTTCTTCTTGTGTCAATTTCAATCTTATAGCTTTAAAACTAGATTGTAAAAACTTTCAGTAATTCGGCAAATAAGCTTTAAATAAAATACATATATTATTTTGTACACCTGTATTTTACAATCCTTACACTTTTATTGTACGGCGAGTTCTTCATTACTTCCTGCTTGTGTAAATTTCTCTGCTTGTAGGGGTTGTTCTTCCTCAACCTGCACTGTGTTATGTGGCGTGAGATCAATGTTATTTATTAACTATCTTTGAAAAACCGTTAATAAACTATTGAAAGTCAAGTATTTCTGATGTATTTTTATTGTAGTCTTGTACAGGTTTGTTGCTTGAAACATTCCCTTACATTCCTTAATCGTGTTTATTTGTAGCACAACTTTATCTTGAACTAAACTTCTAGCATTTGTACCTGAGGACAAAATATTGATGGCAGGAAACAGCTGCTGAAAGAGTTTTGTATGTTTTATGGTAATTTCTGTGATTATTTATTGATTAGCACACTGAGTGAAAACGTCTGTTAATATTGTGAATTCCCTCTAAGCATAGACTATAAGTTCCTCGATTACAATTTGATGTTAATATACCTATGAGTGTTTTAGACGATTACAAACAGTCACTATTATAAATTATAACCTTGTTTCATAATTGTGATATGTTTGGTGTGTGCAAGTGTTTTACATTTAAAGACCACCTTTATGTGTGGTAAACAATTATGTATTATGGAAATTGTGTTAATTTCCCAAAATTTGACTGCAACAACATTGAAGACTACTTAATTTATGCGTTTGGCTTCTGGTTTTTAATGTCATTTCTTCCTAAGAAAGTCTTCTATCCGGTAGATTGATTGATTTTCTTACTTCATGTTACACTTTTAGTTTTAATGAACTGTCTGCTTACACTTATGTAGGTAGTTGTACCTATATATGCCTACAATCACGATGTAGAGTCTCTACACCGTGCCTACAAGTCAACATGTGATTGCGTGAGAGAGCATAAGCAAGAACATGAACACGACTAACTGTTGTAATCTTCTCTTAATTTTTTTGTTCCTTTGCCCCCGTTATGAGTCAATTTGTTATGAGTTATTTAATAAAATATAACACCTCATCTTCCTTGTTCTCATTTGCTTTCCGTCGTTCCCATCATCGTTTAGAAACAACCCCCATGGTAAATGACGTATTTGCAATTGCGTGCGGATTCTGGCCTCCACGTGGCTGTCCGCCCCGCAAGCCTTAAAAGGGCCTTACGGCCTTTCCCTTTTTGTGTCGGGGGAGGTGATGGCCTGGTGGCCAATCACCCCCTCCCCTTGGCCTCCTCTGTGCGGAGCCGTGCGGAGCTGCCCACGCCTTCCCGTCTGCGCCTACGGCAGCCTGCGGGCGTCGCTGCGGGAGCGACAGAGAGAGCGGGACCCCTGTTTTGGACGCGACCCCAGACCGCCAAGGCGCGCCCGGGCGGGCGGGGCGGGGCCGGGCGGGGCGCGGCCTGGCAGGCTCCTCACGTGCCGAACACAGGACCTAACTCGCGCAGGGAGAGACTCGATCAGCCCCGCAGAGGTAGGGGGGTCCAGCCCGTCACGCATAGCAGAAGGGTAACTTCGGGCGGAGTTGGTGCAGCAGCAGCAGCGGCGGCGGCACGGGGGCGAAGGGGAGTGTTTCGAGGAGCAGGGGTCGAGGAGCAGGCGAGGATATTTTCAAGCTTTACCACTTCATCCACGACCTCCGAGCTACCCCGCCTAGTCTTCAAGACTGACGCAAGCGGTCGAGTCCCCCCCCCCCCCTCCTCCCTCTTTTTTTTGTAGCCTCGGCAGAAGCGCCCCCGCAAACTTTTACTGCGGCAAATAAACTTCAAAGTCTGCAAAAGAACAAACAAAAAAATTACTTATTAAAAATACGAGTGTGTTAGAGGTTTGCAGTAAAACCAGATTGAAATGACACCCAGCTTTAATTTGTTACATACTCTCGTTGAATCGTGTTCGACACGAACTAGTCCTCAAGAATTTTTCAATGTTATTGTTAGTTTGAGGCAACCAAGGACTAAAACTAAACACGAGACTATAAGTCACATCAAACATAAAAGTGCGGTGTCTACTGTTCCTTTCTAATACCGCGTAGTAAAAGCAGAGAACGCAGGCACAACTCTCGCACCCCCTCACTGCTCTGACGTACCGCCACGCCACGCCCCGTCCTCCAGTAATCAGACAGACATGTTGTTGATGACTGGAGCCTCATCACATCCATCCTCGCCTTGATTTCCCGCCGGTCGTGCCCCGGAGCCCCTGGAACCTGCCCCGCTGCCTGAGCTCACGCGGTGCGGCAGAGCGGAGCACAGCGGAGCGGCGGCGGTGACCTTTGACCTTTCATCATTTTCTTTCTCGCGGGGGCTTCACTTCTTTCTCTCTGCGAGGGAAATGGTCCGGGCCGGAGCTACGGGGAGCTGCAATCGTTTAAGCAGTGCGGTCGCGCGAGCGTGTGCGCGTGTGAGTGTTTGTGTGTGTGTGTGTGTGTGTGTGTGTGTGTTTGTGTGTGTTTGTGTGGATGCGTGTGTGGGTGCGCGATGTGTTTGTGCGCGCGACCTTGATGGCGCAAACGACCGCCATATCTCGACGAGACGGATGAAAATCTGCAGTGGATGCAAGCCGTGCTCCACCGCTCCGCCATTTCTCGAGCAGCGTGCAGCAACGAAAAACGGCGCCGACGGAGGGAGGGAGCGAGGAGGAGAGGGAGAGAAAGGGAGAGAGAGAGAGAGAGAGAGAGAGAGAGAGAGAGAGA